CTGCTCTCCAGTCTGGGCGACACAGTGAGACCTTGTCTCTAAAACAAAACAAAATAAAACAAAAAACATATGCATGAACTGTTAAAAATCAATAGTCATTAACAGAAAAAGCTCTGTAAAGGCCATCAGATGACTTACAAAGTTATCTGGTTCCCCTTGGTTATGATGTCAGCTATATGACCACAGGCTATCTTCAGACTAACAAATACTCCCTGAGTACGAGGTACCTAGAAAATTTTATAGTTCAAAATAAATTTTAGGTTGACATGGTAAAAAGAAGGCTGGGCACGGTAACTCACGCCTGTAATCCCAGCACTTTGGGAGGCTGAAAGGGATGGATCACTTGAGGTCAGGAGTTCAAGACCAGCCTGGCCAACATGGTGAAACCCTGTCTCTATTAGAAATAAAAAAATCAGTCGGGCGTAGTGGTAGGCGCCTATAATCCCAGCTACTCAGGAGACTGAGGCAAGAGAATCGCTTGAACCTGGGAGGCAGAGGTTGCAATGAGCTGAAATCACGCCACTGCACTCCAACCCGGTGACAGAATGAGACTCCATCTTAAAAAAAAAAAAGAATATTCTTTGTGTCCACTGACAATTCATAAACTTAAGTATACAAAATCTTGGTGAAGCACCAAGTAAAATAACCACAATCTAAATAAGCTTATTCCTGGGACTGCTAGAAAACTGAAGCACCAGCAGTTCTCAAAGTATAACCAATAGACCTGTATACAAGTCCTCCAGATGTCTTTCAAATAGTAATAGAATCATGTTGTTCATTTCTTTTCATCTCTATTTGGAACTGAAATATACCTGGAAATAGCTAAGAGAACGGAATGACAATAGTGAATTTGGGCAAAGCCAATGCAAGTTCGATCAATTTTTTTCACTATTTAAAATAAAGGCATATCCTAAATACATCATATTTGATGTACTACCTTATATCCTTCTGGGAACATAGCATCTAATTCCTCATCAGAAAGTGGGCGATTTCTCTCATCAATTTCTCTTTCCCATCGCCAAGCCTGAAGCTGTTCAGGAGTCATACTCATTATGTGACCTACCAAGAAAAGCAAAGTTTTATACACTCTATAGTGCAAGACTGTATTATTACATATATCTTTGAGATAAAAGAGAATTAAGATCAACCCTATTATTTATTTTGCTTTTACATTATAAATGCAAACCAAGACTTAAATTTTTATATCTCTTTATTCTTGCTAGAAGTTGACATTAATAGCACACAGAATACCACAAAGAAAAAAAATTAAATAATTTATGGAGAAAAAAACAATTATTTCCAATGAGAGAGAGAGTTCTACCTGGAGTAGGGGTAGCCATGTTCATGGCTGGTGTGCCAATTGGTGTTTTTCCAGGGGTCAGAACTGGAGTGCTTCCACCCATCTGACTAGCTGGTGTTTCATCCCACCGTGATTTTCTTTTACTGGCTCCAGGAGTCGGTGTTTCACCAATAGAATCTCCACCTCGATCTGTTCGAGGAGTCTCAGCCCATCCACTTCCATGCCCAGGAGTATCTTTAAAAAGAAAGAGTGAGTAAAACCACAATTTTAATTCCTGTTAAAATAATATTCTTTATTCTCAAACAGTTATACTCAAAACTATCAAGTTCTAAAACAGAATATTCCTAAAATGGTGACCCATTTAAAGTTGTTTGAGACCAGCCTGACCAACATGGTGAAACTCCGTCTCTACGAAAAATACAAAAATTAGCCAGGTGTGGTGGTGGGTGCCTGTAATCCCAGCTACTCAGGAAGCTGAGGCAAAACAATCTCTTGAACCTGGCTGGGCACGGTGGCTCACACCTGTAATCCCAGCACTTTGGGAGGCCAAGGCGGGTGGATCACAAGGTCAGGAGATCGAGACCATCCTGGCTAACACGGTGAAACCCTGTCTCTACTAAAAATACAAAAAAATTAGCCGGGCGTGGTGGCGGACGCCTGTAGTCCCAGTTATTTGGGAGGCTGAGGCAGGAGAATGGTGTGAACCCGGGAGGCGGAAGTTGCAGTGAGCAGAGATCGCGCCACTGCACTCCAGTTTGGGCGACAGAGCGAGACTCCATCTCAAAAAAAGAAAAAAAAAAAGAATCTCTTGAATCCGGAAGGCAGAGGTTGCAGTGAGGTGAGAGCGCACCACTGCACTCTAGCTCGGGTGACAGAGTGAGACTCTGTCTTAACAAGAGCAACAAAAAAGTAAATTTGATGTTAGGTACATTTTTCCATAATAAAAAACAAAGGGTAAGCCAGGCACAATGGTTCATGCCTGTAATCCCAACACTGGCAGGAGATCACCTGAAGCCAGGAGTTCAAGACCAGGCTAGGCAAAAAAGCAAAACATTGTCTCTACAAAAAATTTAAAAAGTAGCCGGGGACTGGGCGCGGTGGCTCACGCCTATAATCCCAGCACTTCAGCAGGCCGAGGGGGGCGGATCATCGGAGGTCCAGAGTTCAAGACCCGCCTGAGCAGCATGGAGAAACCCCGTCTCTGAGGCTGCAGTAAGCTGAGATCGCGCCATTGCATTCCAGCCTGGGCAGTAAGAGCAAAACTCTGTCTCCAAAAAAAAAAAAAAAAATTAGCCAGGCATGGTGGCATGCCCCTATAGTCTCAGCTACTCAGAAGGCTGAGGCGGGAAGATCGCTTGAGCCTAGGATGTCAAGGCTACAGTGAGCAAGACCCTGTCTCTAAAGAAACCAACAAAATCAAAGGTTACGGCCTACTAACTTTACTTTAGCCTAAGGTTCTTCCTTAAATCTTAAACCTCTTCAAGAAGTAAAAAAAAATCAAGCATATGATCTGTTCTGTTCTTAATCTGTCCCCTTATACGCGTCCACCCAGGAATAAACAGAACACATTTCAGTCTGTAAACATACGACTCAACATTTCACCCACACACCCATACTCCACTAGAAGTACCTCTCTCTGTTTTGGGGGTTTCATCCCATCTGTTTTTACGAGCACTGGAAGTTGCGCCTCCATGGCCTGGTGTCGCGTGGCCTGGTGTATCGCCTCGTCCAGGAGTAGCAGCTCCCGCCGGTGTGTGGCTAGGTGTAGGATCCCATATTTTTGAGCCTGGGGTTGCTCCAGGAGTCTCACTTCCCTTTGCACGACCTGGTGTCTCATCCCATCTTAATGAAGGAGTATGCCCAGGGGTCTTAAAAAAGCAAAAAAAAAAATTTATTTCACACACCCACATAGAAATAGTTAGAAAATTTCCATAAAATAAAACTTTAAATGAAAAATGTTTTAGTTCTATGTACTATAATTAATTAAGTTAGAGGACACTACCTCTACTTATAGGAAAATATACCTACTTTCTAGCAAATGTTTATGATTAAAAACAATGTAAAGTTTCAATCCGAAGCACTGACAAAAGTTCCAGCTTAAAAAAACAAAATATTCTGGGTATGAATCTTTGATATGCCATTAACAGCTCTGTGACTTTGGGGAAATCAATAAGGTTTCTCTGTCTAGATCTGTAATCGAAGGCTTTCAGCTCTAATTACATTAGTACTTCTCAAAGTGGGGCTTAGAGACACATATTTAGGGGAGAAGGAATTCACGCGTTCTAAAAAAATAGTCCTGTCCCAAAGTGCTGGGATTACAGGCATGAGCCAGCGTGCCTGGCCAAGTCTCTGTAGTTTCTATAAGAAAGATATCAGCGTATCAGCTCTCATGCCAGGCACAGTGGCTCACACCTGTAATCCCAGCACTTTGGGAGGCCAAGGCGGGTGGGTCACCTGAAGTTGGGAGTTTGAGACCAGCCTGGCCAACATGGCAAAACCCCGTCTCTCCTAAAAATTAGCCAGGCGTGGCGGTAGGCACCTATAATCCCAGCTATTTGGGAGGCTGAGGCAGGAGACTCGCTTGAACCCAGGAGGCGGAGGGTGCACGGGGGCCAAAATCATGCCATTGCACTCTAGTCAGGGTGACAGAGCAAGACTCTGTCTCAAAAAAAAAAAAGAAAAAAAAAAGAAAGGTATCAGCTCTTGTGTCTAGTTATGTGCATACAGTTAAACAATTACCAGGACAAACTTCTTTATCTTTCTCAAACTTAGTACTGAATGTCATCCACAGAATTAAAGTTAGTAGTTACTTGGCTGGACACGGCGGCTCATAACTGTAATCCCAGCACTTTGGGAGGCCAAGGTTGGGGGATCACTTGAGGTCAGGGGTTCAGCACCAGCCTGGCCAACATGGAGAAACCCTGTCTCTACTAAAAATATAAAAATTAGCTGGGCCTGATGGCACATGCCTGTAATCTCAGATACTTGGGAGGCTGAGGCACAAGAGTCACTTGAGTCTGGGAGGCGGAGACTACAATGAGATGAGGTTGCACCAATGCACTCCAGCTACCCATGGGTAACAGAGCAAGACTCTGTCTCAAAAATTAAAATTAAAATTAAAGCCAGTAGTTACTTATATTGAGCAGAACCATACCCCTCCTACATATCACCAAGCAAATGAGAAGTCCTCACCTTAAACTAAATTGTTTAGAAATTATGTATTAGGTTTATATCCCAATTCTGGGTTTGGGGAAATACTGCATGATCTGATAGGTTTTTTCTTGATTTATAAGTTAAATATATAGCAGTCCAGGCTAGAGCTAATAGTGATTTAGACAAGGATGGTAGAGGCAGAGATCATGAAAAGTGGCTAGCTCCTTAATATATTTAAAGCTGATGCCAAGAAAATGTATATGGGTAGGATATGGGATAAGAGAATAAGGAGTATTGGATGACTCCCTAAATGTTTTTTGTTGTTGTTGTTGTTGTTTTTGGTTTTTTTTTTTGAGACACAGTCTCGCTCTGTCCCTAAGACTGGAGTGCAGTGGCACCATCTCCGCTCACTGCAACCTGCACCTTCCAGGTTCAAGTGATTCTCCTGCCTCAGCCTCCCGAGCAGCTGGGATTACAGGCGCCCGCCAACACGCCGGGCTAATTTTTGTATTTTAAAATACACCATGTTGGCCAGGCTGATCTCGAACTCCTGACCTCAAATAATTCACCCACCTTGGCCTCCCAAAGTGCTGGGATTATAGGCATGAGCCACTGGACCCAGTCCTAAATGTTTTGCTTCAGCCAAACAGACATGGGAAAGACCAGGGGAGCAGGACTGAGAAGAGACGTATGCGAAAAAAATCAGTAATTTTCTTTCAGAAATACTGATTTTGAAATGCCCATTGAACAGCCAAATATGTCAGGCTGAACAAACACGCAAGTCTGCGGAACAGAAGCAGAGGAAAGATTTATAAGTTTGGGAGCTATTTTATATAAATGGTATATAAAGACAAGAATGAGATCCTAGGGATCGAGCACTGATGGAAAAGAATCCAAAAAACTCAGCACTACTATAATACCCCAAAGTTCGGAGGTAAGAAGAATGAGGATCCAGCAAACAAGACTAAGGAGTAGTAACCAGTGAGGAGATTTTGAGGGGAAGCAAGAAAGACTAAAACCCAGAGACTGAGAGAGAAAAGGGTATGAAGAAATGTCAAATGTTCTTGATATGCTAAGTCATATGAGAAATGAAAATACACTTTTTAAATTTATTAGGGGTCAAGTGACCTTGACAAGAGATTTTAGGTGGAGTAGACTGGAACTACGTAAGAAGACTAGAAACTACGTAAGACTAGAACTGACGGTCCTCGGCGGGTCTGGACGTGGCGGGTTGCTTTCCAAAATGGCGCGCGCGCTGAGGGCTGCAGCCGCGAATGCCAGACTGGGGAGAAACCAGAAAGGAGAGCAAGTCCTGTAAAAACAACAACTACTACTTCGGCCGAACTCCAGGCATGACCAGCTTTCTGCTGGGAACACTCAAAGGGGTTTTTTTCCAGATTCCAAGCTCCCATACCAACAGTAAGAGCTTCTTTCACGTCACGGCCCTTGGATCAAATGGCAGGTTCTGTGTGGAACCGTGGTCGACTCAATCATGTAGCCATAGCAGTGCCAGATCTGGAAAACGTGCAACATTTTATGAGAATATTCTGGGGGCCCCGGTAAGTGAAGCGGTCCCTCTTCCTGAACATGAAGTATCTGTTGCTTTTGTCAACCTGGGAAATACCAAGATGGAACTGCTTCATCCACTGGGATGTGACAGTCCAATTGCAGGTTTTCTGCAGAAAAACAAGGCTGGAGGAATGCATCACATCTGCATCGAGATGGGGAATAACATTTTGATGGCAATTTAATCGTGATTTTCATGTGTATCTTGATAAGGTCAAAGGTGGATAATATTAATGCAGCTGTGATGGATTTGACAAAAAAGAAGATCCGCAGTCTAAGTGAAGAGGTCAAAATAAGAGCACATGGAAAACCAGTGATTTTTCTCCATCCTAAAGACTGTGGTGAGAGACCGGGCGCGGTGGCTCACGCCTGTAATCCCAGCACTTTGGGAGGCCAAGGCGGGCGGATCACGAGGTCAGGAGATCGAGACCATACTAAAAATACAAAAAATTAGCCGGGCGTGGTGGCGGGCGCCTGTGGTCCCAGCTACTCGGGAGGCTGAGGCAGGAGAATGGCGTGAACCCAGGAGGCGGAGCTTGCAGTGAGCCGAGATCACACCACTGCACTCCAGCCTGGGTGACAGAGCAAGACTCCATCTCAAAAAAAAAAAAAAAAGACTGTGGTGGAGTCCTTGTGGAACTGGAGCAAGCTTGATTTGTATTTGCAAACAACTAAATTAACTGACCTGAAAAAGCCTATCAAATACTATCAAAATGTACTATGATATTGAGTCCTTTGCTGCTTCCAACATGTAAAAGTTCACCATTAAAAACTGAATTACAGAAACATTAAAATATATACATATATAAATCAATAAATACGTAATTATTTAGATTAACAAACTTGTTAATTTGAATCTGAAAATTAGGGAACATTATTAAAATCATATAGAAATAAATTATTCCTCTTCTACAATGGGGTAATTGAATGTAAAAAAAAACGAAAAAAAAAAGACTAGAACTATGTAAGCAGAGAAAGCAAGTACAAATAACTCATTCAAAGCACCTGTGGCTCATGCCTGTAATCCCAGCACTTTGCAAGGCTGAGGCAGACAGACTGCTTAAGCCCAGGAGTTTGAGACCAGCCTGGACAACACAGTGAGACCCGTTTCTACAAAAAATAAAAAAATAGCCAGGCATGGTGGTACGTGTCTACAGTCCCATCTACTTGGGGGGTTGAGGTGGCAGGATCATTTGAGCCCAGAAGGTGGAGGCTGCAGTGAGCTATTATTGTGCCCCTGCACTCCAACCTTGGCAACAGAATGAGACCCTACCTCAAGAAAAAAACAAAGAACAAAGCACTTTGTTCCAAAAAGATATAGAAACAGGATTGTCGCTGAATGAGGATGTGAAGGAGGGTTAAGAGATGTTTTCTGCAGGTTTTTTGTTGCTGTTGTTAAGAAAGCATGGTAAAACATGTTTGCTGATGATGATAATCTAGTATGGAGAAAAAAATTAATGGTACATGATGAGAGTCTCCAAGAGGGGAAGGGAAAGGGTACATAAGCAAAAAGAGTGGCTTTAATTCATTATTTATTTATTTTAAGATAAAGTCTCACTCTGTTGCCTAAGTTGGAGTGCAGTAGCGTTAATCTCGGCTCACTATACCCTCCACCTCCCGGGTTCAAGCGATTCTCCTGCCTCACCCTCCCAAGTAGCTGGGACTACAGGCGCATGCCACCATGCCTGGCTAATTTTTTTGTATTTTTAGTAGAGACAGGGTTTCACTATGTTGGCCAGGCTGGTCTTGAACTCCTGACCTCATGATCCGCCTGCCTCGGCCTCCCAAAATGCTGGGATTACAGGCATGAGCCACCACACCTGGCCCCTTTATATTTTATTTTTCTAGCAATAATTAAATATTTTCAAGTGCTTTCTAAAAAATCCATTTTAAAGGCCTTTCTATTCAGGCTAATGACAAACACAATAAAGGCACATATGATAGTTTAACATTTATGCAAACTTGTATCTTTTAGTCTGCAAGTATATATTATTAAATGATAGAAAACATCTAATATAACCATTTCTACAGAACTAGGAAATACATTTATAAGAATGATTTTACAGACTCCATCATTTTGTTTTTTTGAGACAGGGTCTCACTCTGTCACCAGGCTGGAATGCAATGGCATGATCATAGCTCAATGCAACCTCTACCTCCTAGGATCAAGGGATCCTCCTGTCTCAGCCCCCACCACTCCCCATACCCCAGTAGCTGGGACTACAGACATGTGCCACTATGCCCAGCTAATTTTTTTTTTTTGTAAAGACAGGGTCTCCCTCTGTTGCCCAAGCTGATCTCAAACTCCTTGAGCTCAACCAATCCTCCCACCTGGGCCCCCAAAGTGCTGGGATTACAGGCATGAGCCAATGCATTCCACCTCCAAAACAAATGTTTAAAAAAACAAAAAAGAAAGTAGGAGAGTAGGCTGGCCAAGGGAATGAAGTAGCATTGACTATTTGCTGCCTGTAGTGAGGGTCTTAAGTTATCTATCTAGAAGATAAGGAAGACCACTATATCACACTCAACCTCCACAATGTAACATACCTACGGGTCTGTATTTAATATTCTAAAAAGAACTTTCCTTACTCTATGACATGGGCTACATTGCATGCCCCTCAAAATTTGTATGCTGAACCCCCAGTGTGGCTGTATTTGGAGACTGGGTCTTTAAGGAGGTAAATTAAGGTCAAATGAGGTCATGAGGGTGGGGCCCTAATCTAACAGACTGATGTCCTCATAGGAAGACCAGGGACAATAGAGCTTGCTGGCACAAAGAAAGGCCATGTGAGGATACAGCAAGAGAGCCCTCAACAAATACTAACCCTGTTGGTACTCTGATCTTGGATTTCAAGCCTCCAAGAACTGCGAAAAAAATCAATGTCTGTTGTTTAAGGCACCCAGTCTGTGGTATCTTTTTATGACAACCCAAGCAGACTAATACAGTCCATAACAGAAAAAAATTTTAAACAGTAATAACAAAAAACAAAAAGAAATTACCTCTGCCTGATCCCAACTTGATAATTTTTTGGGAGTGGCACCAGGAGTCTGATCAGCTGTTTGATCCCAACGCCGTTTTCGTTTTGATGGAGGCTGGGACGCTGCTGCTCCATTGACGACTTTTAGTTCTCCAGCTTTAGCTTTTTCTGCTAGCTGTTGCCTAATTTCTCGCTGAAAAAAAAACAGTGAGTGTTTACCTTTAAAATGCTTTCAATATATTTTTCTATCATTAGCACAATCATTTCCACTTAACATCCCATTTTATACTTTGCTCATTCTCCTTTCTGTGGTACTCGTGGTCTCCCTTCTATGCTAGCTGGTTCCAAAGTCTGTGTCTTTATTTCATTTTACATAATGCCTGTCTTTCTAAACAAAAGATAAGCAAGTTCAGAATTTGTAACATAGCACACTGTAGTTTATATATTGTAGGTGAAGTAAAATCTTCAGTCAACAATGGAGAACCATAATGCTTCCACTGAAAAATAGGGTTTTCTTCAAAACTAATATAAATAGCAATTAAGACTATGCAACGGCCGGGCGCGGTGGCTCAAGCCTGTAATCCCAGCACTTTGGGAGGCCGAGACGGGCGGATCACGAGGTCAGGAGATTGAGACCATCCTGGCTAAAACGGTGAAACCCCGTCTCTACTAAAAAATACAAAAAACTAGCCGGGCGAGGTGGCGGGCGCCTGTAGTCCCAGCTACTCCGGAGGCTGAGGCAGGAGAATGGCGTAAACCCAGGAGGTGGAGCTTGCAGTGCGCTGAGATCCGGCCACTGCACTCCAGCCTGGGCTACAGAGCGAGACTCCGTCTCAACAAAAAAAAAAAAAAAAAAAAGACTATGCAACAAGATAGAAAAATGGTAAAAGATAAAAATAGTAAAATTGTTTTATTTATACTGACAAATTATATAAATACTCAAAATTTAGTGGTAATGGATGCACATTCAATTCACTCTATACTGTTAAAATGGGGTTTTACTATCCCATTTAACTCATTCAACATATAAAATCTATTATATATTCATAATAGTAATGGAAGAGGCTGGGTATAGTGGCTCACACCTGTAATCCCAGCACTTTGGGAGGCTAAGGCGGGCAGGTTGCCGGAGGTCAGGAGTTCGAGACCAGCCTGGCCAACATAACGAAACCCCATCTCTACTAAAAAAAAAAAAATACAAAAATTAGCTGGGCATGGTGGCACACACCTGCAATCCCAGGAACTCAGGAGGCTGTGGCAGGAGAATCGCTTAGACCCGGAAGGCAGAGGTTGCAGTAAGCTGAAATTGCACCACTGCACTTCAGCCTGGGCAACAAAGCAAGACTCCACTCAAAAAACAAAAAAATAGGCGGTTACTAGACAAAATGGCATAATCTCTGTAGGCCAAAAGGAATTATTCAAAATTCTCCACTTACATCCAAACTGAAACTTATAGAATCTCACACTGAACTCTTGACTTTTCCCTAACATACTAGGTTCAGATACACACCATCAACCTTCCTCACGGAAATAACCCCTGTAATGGCCAGGCACAGTGGCTCACACCTGTAATCCCAGCACTTTGGGAGGTCGAGGCAGGCAGATCACCTGAGGTCAGGAGTTCGAGACCAGCCTGGCCAACATGGTGAAACCCCATCTCTACTAAAAATACAAAAATTAGTTAGGCGTGGTGACGCACACTTGTGTTCCCAGCTCCTTAGGAGGCTGAAGTGGGAGGATAACTTGAACCTGGGAAGCCGCAGGTTGCAGTGAGACAAGATCACGCCACTGCACTCTAGCCTGGATGAGTGAGACTCTGTCTCAAAAAAAAAAAAAAATCCCCTGTAAGACACATACATACATATACAGCCAAGGAGCCCAGGACTAGAAAAGGATATAGAAATGATTTTGAAAGGTGGTATAATTTGGGGGTAAGATTCTTTCTCAGTTAATTTTTATTAATACTATTAAAATATTTGTGCAGCAAATAGCAAAAAAGAAGCATAACAGTCTCTCAATCACAACTGTCTTTACATTCTTTCATAACCATTAAAACAGGAGATAGGTTTACATACTTCTTCTTTAGTCAAGTGCTGTTCTCGCATTACATCCATGTAAGTCCTAGCATTCATTTTAGGATCAGGGGTCTTCCCTCCTGCAGAAAAGAACAGCAACAGGAAAAGAGTACAATAAATAAAAGATAATCGGGTTCAACTGATTTATCTGCCCTGCTCTAAATATTATGTTATTCCATAATCATTTAAATTATTTTTTGATGGAAAACTTTAATAATTATACATCTTACTTTTTATTGAGTTTGCTGATCAATTTAACCTGTTTGAACACAAACATCTACAGCAGTTTAAAACAAATATTTTAATGCATATAAAAACAAAATGACAGCACAGTTTAGAGTCTTCAGAAGTGATGGGTTCCTGGGTTGCTAATCCGGAATACGTACACTTTCGTGCCTTTGTCTCCATCAGCAGTTCTGACTTCAAGCAGCAGAATAGAAGCCTAGAAAATTATCTCTTTACCATTAGTAACACTTTGGAAAGATATTTATATTCAAAACATTACCTGTTGCAAGTTGTTAAAATCCTGACTACAAATAACTATGACTAGATAAGTTCTTCATACAGCGTTCTAAAACAATTGTAGTTTAGAAAATCTGATTTTAAAAATATACCTATAATCTTATTCTGATGTCATGTTACTAAAAAGGGCTTCATGCTTTAAGTTTTTTGACCCAGAAAACATATTTTTATTTCTTAGAAAGCATAAATTAAAACTGGAAACATATTACTTGAAATATATTACTTCTACCAGTTATTATGATGCACACAGAAGCAACATGGTGTACAAAGAGATGTGTTGGTCTCTTGGTTAAAGTTTCAGTATTTGCTTTTCAAACTTCAAAATATCTTACAGAAGCCCAAACAGTATATAACAAGATTCACAGAGGCACATTATGCTTTAGAAATGTGGTAACTAGCTATACAAGTGGTATAGCATCACAATTTAGGAAAAAATAATAAAATTCTAAGACATTTCCTATGCTGAAGATCATGCCCAATTGGTAGTGTCATTCTTTCTGACACT